CACAGAATCATAGAATGGTTTGGGTTGGAAAGGACCTTAAGATCATCTAGTTCCAACCCCCTTGCCATAGGCAGGGACACCTCGCCCTAAACCATGTCAACAAAAATCAGAACAAACCATGGGGATGATTTTCCTAGTCAATGAAGGTTGTTCCCTTAGCTTGCATTAGCTATGGTCTGAGAATTATTTTTATGTGTTCTGGGCCCACACATAAGCAATAGGATGTAACCTTTAGATTATAGATACTAGATAGTGTTCTTTAAATTCAAGCTGTTTCTATTGATTTTGGTTTGGTTTTGTATATGCCAGGAAAACTGTCTCTAAAAGTACTTTAAGGCACATATTCAGCGTCACCAAACATGGTCATACAAAGTGGCATTGTCCTCCAAAGAGTTAGGCTGCTGACAGAAATTACGGATTTTTTGTAAGGCATCCAGGTTTTTCAGAGTTTTATGAAAAAGATAATTTCAAATCTAAGCATTTTGAGTAGCCTAGTAATATAGCTGAAATGCATGAGGTAAAGCAGAACCTTGCATACACTTCTTGGAAACTACTATTTCTTTCGTAATAAACTTTTTTTAATGATATTGGTCTGCTAGATGTTGGACATAGTTTTTCTCATACAACATCCTGTTCCTACCTATTCTTGTCACCTCTCCAGGAATACATTTAGATTAGTTTATTCCCTAGAACGTGCAGTCATTCTAACTCTGTTGCTCAAGTTCTGTCACAGTGTTGAGATAACTTTTTTATCTGGCTGAAATCGTAAGTACAAAGAGGAAATTATATTCCATTTAGTGCTGGACAAGGCTGAAAGCTTTAATTAAAGAAAAATGTTTATAGTACTTACTCTAGCATCAATTTCTTCAGCTCTGCTAAACTTGCTGCCAGTGTACTTAAAAGATTAATTCTTTTCATATTGTGCTATAGTCTCCACTCAGAAATGTATTGGTCAGTAACTACAAAAATTCCTCCATGTTTGACTCCTTAACATCAGAAGTGTTTAGCGATGTTTGACACAAACTGACCTAAGAAATTGGTTTATAATAATTTATTCACAGTGACTGGGGGAACACCTCCTCTACAAAAAAAAATCACTGCATTTCTTTCTTTTCCTCACTTGAAAACTAAATGAAGAAAAAATTATAAGAAAAATCCGCATTATTAAGAGAGACAATAAAATAAAGATCTTAAATTCCTTTTCATTTGGAGCAAATCTGCCTTTCAACATGTTTGAAATCATGTGATCTTTGATGTCACAGATTCAGTCATTTCCAAACCCCACAATAAAGATATTCTGAGTCTCACTGGGAATGAGACATCTTGTAGAATTTACTGTATAGCATACCAGATGGCATTTTTCTTGGAGACATTACTTCTATGTGCTGCTTCTTTTGCCTTGGAGAAGCAAGAACCAAGTATTGCTATCCCTGACTTATGCGTCAGTTTTCCCATGCAAGAATAAGTGCATATTTTTTGATTGTGGTATTGATACCACAGAAGGATTATCATGGGATTTATGTTCTTTGAAATCATAGGAAAGCACAGTGGTACGTGAATATGTTGCAGGTGAGAACATCTTACGCAGCCTGCACAATGTTTTTCAATATCAGGACCAGCTTTAGGCATAGCCAAAGTAGGCACTGCCTGCAGCAGCACACTGGTGGGGCTGCCACTGAATCATGGACTAGCAAAATGAAGATATAGCCTTCTAGTCTCAAAGCAACAGCATCTGCTCCAGTTTCTGCTTGAACTGGCTCATAAAAACGGTCCAAGCAGCCTCCCTAAGATAAATCTCCTGGATTGGCAAAGAAGAAGGAGATCTGAAGAGCTGCATGTTAGCATGATGAAAGATTTGTCTCTAATCTAATCTAGGTTAATCTAATCTAAGGCCATGTGCCTTCCTTTGTCTTTGCCTTACTACTGCCTTTGGTAGAACAAGGAAGGAAAAAAGTCTTGCAGATAAAAGGATACTTTAGCAATGAGACAGTAGTCAGGGATGAGGACAAGGCAGCAAACTGTGTTTCTGCTTGTTTTCTTTCCCCTTTCTGAGCAACCTTATGTTGTCTTGATGGGTTCAGACATGTAGTTATACTGGCAAAGGACAGAACTGGAGGAGAGTATACGGTGGGACCAGCAGTGCTATAATAATCCAGTGCTGGGGCCATGGACATAGAGAGATGCAGTACCGACAGCTACAGGAGGAAATGTGTCTGGGGAGGCACTCAAAAACTGAATTTTGCCTACACTGTTGCTAGGCATTGAGCCAAACACTTCGTATCACTGGCAGCATAACTTCCATGCTGTTTATAGTAAGGTAAGTATGAAGCATTTGACCATGAAACTGGTATATTGATTATTTGCTGTGTCTTGTAGGCAGAACATTTTTGTTGATTGGGAACATAAGATGCAGAGACATTTGTGTCTATGCATGCAGAAGAAATAAAGGGCCTATCATGCATAATTCTTTCAAAGAGCGGGATTATGCTTCATTGGGTTTCTTTCCAATATGAATTCTTCTGCTTATGGGGGAAAGAGGAAGACAAATTCAGGCATCCTTTTCAAAGAAATTCATGATTTCTCAGCCAACTAAAAAAAATAACAAAGATTTAATTCTCAATTTAAGGTAATTTTGTTCTCAATTTGTTCTCTGAAGAGCTTGCCCAGCCTTTCAAATGTGCTTACTTAACGGAAGTCCACTGTATTTCATCACAACATAGCCTACCCTCCTCCTTACAGCCTTGCTACATACTGGGCACAACCCTGAAGGGATTATGCTCCATCTGTGTACAAATATATGATTCACAGTGGAAAAAGCTCTGCAAAATAGGGAAGATTTACAGACAGATGTGAACAAATGCATTTGTATCTCCATGAGACCTAGATTTCTATCAATTTGGTATAGCTCCTTCCTCTGAGAAAAAATGAATTATCCATTAATCTGTTTGAAATACATTTAGCTATTTGTTCAGACTGTAGATAAATTGTCCATATTGCAAATATTCACGTGATAATGTTATTAAATACTTGAGAAAACTCCTAAATGCGTCTTCAGCAACTACAGATTTACCTGTGCCAGAGAAGCCTTCAGAATTTTTTTAATAGGCCTAATGAACCTTTCACATTTCATGTGGTAATGTAGCAAATGAATGAGAAGAACTGGAGTAATGTAAGATCTCCTACAGATCTATCTTGGGCAACTTTCCAACTACATGAAAGATTTTTTATGGCTCAACTAGAATTATTCTACAAATTCATTATGGACTTCAGAGATGTTCCACAAATCCAAGCAGCAATACCAGAGCAAAAGTTAACAGGTTTTAGTCCAAACTCTAGTCAGGCTGGAGTTAAAACTCTTTTAATATTGTTAATTTTAAATATCCAGCAAAGTTAAAAGTCTGTTCTGCAACTGCTTAGGGAGCCTCTGCATGTCAATAGCAAAGACTTTGCATTATACCTTATCAGTCAGGCTGTAGGTTTGGATTTCAGTGAAACAGTTTTCTGCCATAGTATCATCAATCCCAAATGATGTCCTTGACAGGTATCTGTAATTTCCTTATGCCTGGAATTCAGTGCCCCTTAGAGATGATCATTGCCTGAGATTCACAATGGACCCTGAATATATCAATTTTCTGCCTTTATTTTTTTTTAGTCCTTTAATCCAGTTATGAAAAGCAAAAGATTACTAAACATTCCCCTTAGAATAAAGGTGTAAAGTATTTCCAGCCTTAGAGAAACTGTCTGAAAAATGGAGCGTTGAGAGAATACATTGTGAGGTATCTGGCTTCTTGTGCAGAAAATGAACTTCACTTTCATTTTAATATTTTTCCTGTTATAGTTGATAAAATATGCTTCCACCCTAGATATCATGCAAATCTTGTATGTCTGCCTGCTATCATTCACATTTTTTTTCAAAAATTCCACAAACTTAAAATTTTATTTAGCTAGTTATTCATTTGAAATGGTGACCTTTTCAAATTGAATTATGATATGTTGGCTTGAAGGTTTTCTTGTGTCTTATAATATTTTATGGTTGAAGAAATCATGCAGATAATCTAATTACTTTGACTAAAATTGTTGTGCCGTTTATGTCTTTTGCCATACTACAGGAGAGAAGCTGTAAAATGTATTCATTATCGATTCATTAAAGGGGTTTGCTCTTATATAAGCAGAAAAGCAGACCACTACCTATCTTGTATTAAAAGGGGGAAGGGGAAGGCATAGTAAACCACGCCATTGGCTATGATTTATATATTGCAGTTCTGAATGTCTTGTAAAACGTAAAAATCTACAACAAACAGATATGTAAAGCGTAACTGGTATGAAGATTCTATTCAGATTTAAGTGCTCTAGGTTGCTTTTGAGTCTCGCTATTTTCTGCATTTGTTTTGACTGCTCTCATCATTCAAGATTGACGCTTGGATGGGTGTGTAGGAGGAAGCAGCAGCAGCAGGCTTACAGCTTGCAGACAAAAAAAAAAATCTGCCTTATCTGATGGCTATTATTGAAAATGCGAGGTGTAGCCTAGGCTGGGTAATGATGGGGAGTGAGCGAGGGGGAGCAAGAATCATGGAGCTGCATACTGATGAGTGTAGGAGTACTTGATAAAAAGAATTCTTGCTGCTGGCAGTGCATTGCTCATTGTGGAGTATTCCAACAATCACATATAACGGAGAACAGCTTCGCTGACAGCTTGATGTGCCTTTCTTTTTTTTTTTTTTTTTCCTGCTCTATGACGTGCTGATCTGTAGTAAAGATTAATAACTAAGAAATGTAGAGCTACGATCAGATCTTGTGCTATATACTGCCCTGTAAACTATGTTTTACTTCTGACTTTTCTGCTTGCTGAAAACATTAATCTGTCAAGCTGGCGGGCTCCTTTGATACCAACTTTTCCAGGAACACGATGTGGCAATGCCACCTCTCAGCCCAGGACTACCGCTATTATCCAGTGGATGGTTATTCATTGCTTAAACGCCTCCCTCTTCACCCTCCTACAGGACCCCGATGCCCTGTCCAGACAGTGGGACAATGGTTGGAAAATATTGGGCTACCTCAGTATGAAAACCACTTGCTGGCTAATGGATTTGACAATGTGCAATTTATGGTAAGATATTGTCTGTGCATATCTGTGTATATACACTGTAGCTGCCTTTTTTGTCTGTGTCTTTTGTGCTCATAGAAACCTTAGAATAATTCTGCATTGCACTAGGAAGATCTGTATAGTATTTCACTTTTCTATGTCTAGCTAAATTAAGAATATATAGACTGTCCTTGTATAAACTTCCAAATTGTACATGTTACAAAATATTCTAGCCAGAAATATGGTAAAAGCAAAACTGCATATTAAGGTTTTTTTCTCCCTCTCACCAATTTTCAGATTAAAAAAGAAAAATGCACAGTTCTTTTAATCTATTGCAGGATTTTCACAGCATGTAAAAGCTGTAAACCCCCCTATCTGCAATACATCACATTATTACTTTTATTTAAACATTAAGATCATTGTAATAATAATAAAGTAACATGCAATGCTATTCTTGCATTCAGAGGTAGTTAAATAATAGAAAATTATTTAATGAAGTCTGCTGTCTACACAAGTGATTCTTGATATCTTAGCTAAATGTTTTTTCATCTTCAAAAATCAGGCTATGGGATTCACTTGTTGAAACTTATGCCCTGTGTGGAAAAGTAATGCATTCATTTTAATAGCTCCATTTTCATGTTTTAACGCTAGACATTTATCAGGAACATATGAATGAAATAAAATTTTATGTACTTCAGGATATACAGTATTAACATGTGGTGTAAAGTAACAGAGACCTGTCATGCACAAACTTCCCATTGAAATGAATATTGACAGTAGAGAAGCTTACTTGTAAGATTGTTATATAATCACTTTTCTACCTGCTTCATTACTCCCACTACTTGAACCCCTTGCAAAAATCCTGACTCCATTTCCTATAAGGTATCAGAGCTTAAAATAATATTAATGAGTCCCTTTTAAGATATTTTTAGTAACCATGTATATATTGGAACAGTTCTAACTCTGCATAACTTACACCTGGCATATAAGAAACAGAAGTGAAACAGTAAGAATATTACAACTGTAAAATCATCAATAGTTGTGTTTTCCTATTTAATTCCTTTGGCCAACATCATTATGTGCCTTTGAGTTACTGATTGGAAAATTAAGGCACAGATCTCTGCCATTTCCACATTATAATAGTGTAGAGGTTTCTTTCTGTTTTTACATGGCTGCCATGTGATCTTCTGCTTATATCAATAAAAGTCAACAGAATCTTCACCTTTAAATAGTCTTGAAAACAAAGCTGAAAGGGTGTGCTGTCAGTGCAGCAATGTAAAAAATAAAAACAAAAATGCCTTTCAAGCTGCAGTTTCCCACATTGGAACTACAGATTCTTATATATGTTGTAGTGTTAGTTACATAAGTAGATGATCGTTTAGTCTTAAAAAGATCACAGAAGGAAATTGTTCACAAGAGGCTGTAGGTGGCATGACAAATGCAGAGGGGTACACTTACCACAGGTAAATTATGAGCACCAGAGGAGCCAAATAAACTGCCCTAGGGAGGGCTTTATTTTTGTCCTCTGACTCTGGAGGAGCCTGAACCATGCTCCAGGGGAATTGATAAGACTTTAATTTCCTATGTCTCTTATTAGCATACTTATGTAAACATACAAATTATATGCGAGATTCTGTGACATAGTACCCAGATCAAACTTTTCAGGTATTAGATAGATTTAGTTATGCCTGCATACATGTGTGTTGGATAATGTTTTCTGCTTCTTTTAATTTAAGCCTTTTCTGAAGTGCTTTTTCTTCAAAAATATGTTGCAGGTAAAATACAGGATAAATTTTAATATTAGTTGGGGTAGTATACACATGTGAGTGGAAGGTTAGACTCTTATGTCCAATGATTAAGTAAAAAGCTGGAAAAACCCTAATGATTAAAAGTTTATATTTTCAGTATGTAAGAATTCCTAATTTATTGATGTCAAGCTGTTCGTCATGCTGTTACATATTTCAAGTTTTGTTTGTACCAGAATTTGAATAGTTCTCATATTTTATTAGAAACAAAAATGATCAGAAAGCATCAATTTTTTTTAATAATGTTCTTTTGAATGTAACAGTATTATGTAAGGAAAGCTTCTTCTGAAAATTTAAATTACTGTTTTTTGAAAGTGTTTTCCATTCTAGCCAAAATGTTGAAGAGAAAATTAAACTTGGAAAGTATATAGGAAAATGACAGAATAAAGACCTGCTATTCTAGGATTAAAATTTAGATTATTCCAAACTTAAATGTGATGTAGCCTTCCTTAATATGAGAAAACTGCTTTGCCTTTATTAAAGTGGTTTATATATTAAGTTATATTTTACAATCTTAAGTGTTTCAGATAGGTTAGTTGCTTTGCACTGAAGAACTCTTAATAGTTCAATGCAGTAAAAATCATTTAGACATATTTCTTCTATATTCAGTACCATATTCCTGCTTTTGTTTTTCTGGAAGCACATTCTGACCTGCATTTATTCATTCTGTTGCCTAAGCAACAACCATCACACTCCTATTAAGTATGATTTAGTAGTACATGTCTTACTAGATGTTCAGAACAGGAGAAGGAATATCACAATATCATAATTAATGTCCATGGAATAATATACATATGAGAACAAATATATCCTATTTATACTACTCTCAAAGCAAAATACTATTAATTAAATCAGCATTCTAATACAAAGGTGGCTTTCAGATAAAAAGATTTAATGGTTAGTCATTCATTAGATAATAGAAATTAACTCTTTTTTTAGTCCCCCTTGGGCATTACTGTACTTTGGAAAATTATTCACTAGACTGTACTTTGAAATAGGATAGGAAGATTTGTTTGTTAACTGAAGTGTGGGGACTTTATAGCAAGAAACAGCCTGTTTCTTAAACTTTGCAGTATGAATATTTTTCCATTGTTCAGCCATATATATGCTTTTAAAATATCTTGAAATACAGTATTAAAAAAATAAGTTGCGTTTTCACAAACTATTTCTACACATATTTGCACACATAGCAAGTGCAATTCCTGCCTACTATTAGTGATGTGCAGGAATGACACTTCCATAACATTTAGTAGGCCCAAGACAGATTCAATCCCAGAATTTGGTTCATGTGTGCTTGTAGGAGTAGAATCATACCTGAATATATATATATATATAAGCAATCATTAATAACTGATAATTTGTTGTGTAATAGGCTGCAGTGTCCTGCAAATGTAAAAATTTGTAGTGACTTTGTGCAGAGATTTTCTATATTTGAAGATGCAGATGATATTGCAGTTTCATAATATGAAGGCAGTTTTGCAGTCAAATTAATTCTAAAGCACAAGAAACAATTAGGTCAGTCATAAGTTGCAGTACATAAGCTACATATAAAAAATAAGGAAACCTAATGAATCAGTGAACATCTTTTTGATGCGTAGGTCCCACGGATATCTCTGGGTTAAGGTATAATCTTTATGCAGACTCTCAGGCCTACATAACTTAGTATGCTGAGAAAAGTAGTTAAATTGCAGAGTAACATGTAAATATACAAGTGTACGAGGTTGCTAGATACTTGCATGCAGCTTTATACAACTCTGGAGCTTCATCAAAGACTCAATTCTGGATTCACAGGGATAAAAGAAGTTCAATCAAATCATTGCCCAGTGGGGACTGGTTCTGATTAAGGGCAGCATATTTCTAGGTTGTTCTAATCATTTAAGATATTCTGAAATTTTATCACTTGCTTAAGATTGCAATTTAGTGAAGATAATATCTCTTTAAAGGATTCATAAAACACTGTATGAAAGAAATAGGGACCAGGCAACTGAAATGACTAAACAGAAAAATATGAACCATTTTATTATAATTTTTGACATTCCAAAATATTGGTCATTAATAACAGTTAATAACTTGAACTGGCATAAGACATTTGACTTTTATGGCTGCTGTGAATTTACAGACATGCGCCTGTACCCCTTCAAGTACTTAAATGGCTTGTATTGCCTGACGATCTAAGCATTGCCTAAGTTTTTTTCTAAATTCTATTTTTTTTTTCACTGTTGGGAAACTGAATTATAGAGTGACTGCAGCTTGGAATTTAAAGCTGCTTATATATTTGAGATAAAGGGCACTAGTTCTTAAAATATCTACTAACTTAGTGTTTAGCAGATGAATTACTTGCTTAAACATAGGTATCTAGTACCAATTGAGATATTGGATACTGGAGTACCAATTGGATAGGGAATCCAGAAGATCCGGACAGGGCTGACAGATATTACTGAGGACCAGAAAGAGTCAGACACTTCATGATCAGCAACCAGAGTCCAGGTGGGATACCGCTGAGCACCTCAGATGGCTCTAGGGTCCTGATGCTTACGCAGCCGAAATGAATCTTAAATGTTGTAGGTCACGCAGAGCTTGAGAATATAGATGACTTGAGTTTCCACCTACTGTCTTATTTGCATACGCATTCTTATCCTTCTAATAATTTTCTGTAATTGTATTCATCCTTTGAACTTACCTGCAGAAGTGTTTACATAGTTTCACAGTGCTAGACATGGCTACCTTCTCAGTTCCCTTTAGGTGCCTGTTTTGGATTTAGTTTGAGTTAACTTTTAACTTTTCTTTCTCCTTTCCTCTCTCTCTTTCTTTCTTTTTTTCTTTCCATTCATTTTTTCACTAGGTCTGGAGGTTTATTAAATCAACTGAAGTTTATCTGGAGACTATCCTCCCTCAGGTGTCATTCCTGGGATTTGCTGTCCTGGAATACCCAGTAATTCTTCTTGCCTTTAATCCCTCTGGAGGATCTTAAACTCTTTATCAAGTATAAAGGACAGAAACAATTTTGCTTCTTTAGAGTGAAATGAACCTGAAAGAGTTTCTCTATGTGCATTGGCTTCAAGTCCTGCAGTTGCAGAGACCACCAGAGCTTTTATCCAAAAATACCTGATGCAGAGATAGGCGATTTGGACATCAGACGAAAGCTTGGAAGAGCAAATCAGTCTGCCAACACCTTTCTTAAATAGGCCGTGCTGCAGATGATGAAAAGGAAGCCAATGT